GCCACATGCTTTCCCATCGGTCACCAATTCCTCTGGAGCCCACAAACAGGGCCGCTCCAAAAATTACCAAAGGCAAGACGGGGTGGGAGTGGAGCAGCCTTGGGTCCCAGAATCCCCTGCCCTCCGCACATTAGGTGCGGGTGGGGTAAACACCAGGCAACCTGGACATTCCTGCCGCCCCTCAGCTACCCCTGACTGTTTACAGGGCTGGGACAACCACCGCATTCTAGTCAAGAAGGACCCTGGACCCACAAACCCCTGGTACTTGCTATCCCACTGCCCCCATTTAGAAGGCCCCTCTTATGTGGCCATTAACACCCTATTCTCTCTCTAATATCCTGCTCTAGGGGCGCCTGGGTGGCTCAGGTGGTTAAGCGTCCGGATCTTAATTTCAGCTCAGGTCATGATCTCAGGGTTGTGGGATCGAGCCCCATGTCACGCTCCCTGCTCAGCACAGAGTCTGCTTGTCCCTCTCCCTCTGCTCCTCCATCCACGCATGCTCTCTCTCAAATAAATAAATAAAATCTTTTAAAAAAATATCTTGCTCTCAGCCCATCTCTTCTGATCAACTCCATCGAATGTTGCTCAAAGCACCCTTAAACCTATGGGTCCTCTGATGGATGATCTTCTTGCAAGTATTTCGTCCTGTTTGAGCGGGAGCTTACCTGGAAGGCCAAGGCACCACCTGCTGCCAAAGAACGAATTTCCCCTTCCCCTGATCCGAGGTCTACAGCAATCCTCCTTCCCTAAGGAAATCTATTCTAGGCTCTCGTCAAGCCTGAACATATCACCTCTAAAGCAGAACTAGGAGAAGGCCACAGAGGGTCCACTCTACCACCAGAACCCTCCACTAGTGTCCCAGAGCACACACACTCCTTCATCCCACCCACGTTCCCATGAAGTAGCTTGTCTTCTCCTCCACTGAAGAAGTGGAGACACTGAAACCCATCAACTTGATCAAGAGCCATGGTCTTAAAAACAACAAAACAACAACAACAACAACAAAAACAAATAAGGGGTGCCTGGCTGGCTCAGTCGGTAAAGCACATGACTCTTGATTTTAGGGTCATGAGTTCAAGTCCCACGTTGGGTGTAGAGCCTACTTAAAAAAAAAAAAGTCAAACAGAAAAACAAGCAGGGCTTTTGGGAATGTCAATGTTCTCTTTCTTGACTTGGGCGGTAGGTAGATGGGGTGTCTGTTTTGCTGTTGTAAACTGTACATATGTTTTCAGGCACTTTTCCATACATGTCCTATCCACTGCAGTTGTTCAGTATCTGTCGACTCCTGACCCCTTCCCCATGGACTCTCTACAGGAGTGCTGAAGGAACATGGGCCATTCGCGAGGGGCTCCAGCGCCCATGCTCACCAGGAAAGGTGGTCTCCCACACAGTCTCCGGCTGGGACTTCCCCCCAGCTATTTGGCTCCTCCTTGCCTTTTCTCATCTTCACTGCGATCAGGCAGGAAGGCCAGGGCATGGTGTGAATGAGAGAACATAAGCTGGAACCCACATGAGTCTTGAGTCAAAAGCAGTTCGAACCAGGACTGTAGTAATGGACCTCAGGGCACCCCCTTTTTTCTTCTGGGAAAAATATGAATAGTGCCCAGAAATCCCTGGGGAAATTATTCGTAGGGGCTTTTGTGAGGGGAAAAGAACATCAGGGGAAGGCCTCTGGCCAGCACACCCAGAGCCTTCCTTTCAGGAAGGGCTCAATTCTTCTGGCTGCAGAAGGGGTGGGAGAGGGGCTGAGGCTGGTGATTTCCTCCTTGCCTTGAGGCTTCTAGAACTCAGGGACAGAACCAGCTGACTCTTATGCTTAGCCACTCATCCCAGGCCTCAGCAACAGCTCCCACATGCTATGTTGTTAACAGGAATGTGCGTTCCGTGTCCCTCTCTGTAGTTACCCCTGAGCTCCTCCCTACCCCCATTCTTACTGGAGCTGGGTTTTCTTGCTAGAGAATTCCAGTGTACTTTGGGTCCGCAAACTCTCTCCGTTACCAGCTATCCTGGCCTGTCCTCCCAACTAGCAGGGAATGTGGTAGCAGCACATGATGAGCACAGATGAATCAAGACATGAACCGAGGTGGTTAAATAGGACTTCCAGGCCACAAGGGGCTGGGCAATGGGACTCTGGACAGTGGGTTCCTGTTGCAGGCGGTGTCACATCAAGTGTGTGGAGCAGCGAAGAAGGCCCCCAAGTACCCACATGAGCCTCCTGTGAGGCAATATCCCTTCTCAGGTGATTTTTCAGTAACAATTATATAATTGCTCCTTTAAGATTGCTGTGTAACTATTTTTCCTTCTTTTCACTGGCCCTCCCACCCCATAATCCCGGATCCCAGACCCAGAAATTTACAGTGCAGAGTAAGACACTCCACAACACTGAAGGACCACGGAGAGAGGCCAAAGGAGCCCCTGAAACCAGTGGCGACCACTAGTTCAGGCATCCAGATCTCTTTGGCAAAGACTAAAATCCCCCTGCCCCAATTGCCACTGGAGGTAGTTCAGACAAATCTTCTCATTTTTTTGCCCCTTTCTCAAGAAGATTTCCTCCAATGCACTTAATCTATCACAATGCCTGGAGTTGTCACAAGAAAACAGAAGCGGGACCAAGGGACCCAAAGTCCCTATCTCCCAAGTTTAAAATGAAAACAAAACCAGAGCTGCTGATGTTCCTAGGCCAAACACAGGTGTCGGGGCGGGGGGGGAGTTACAAAAAAATGAAACTTGCCCCTTTCCGGTACCACCAGCAAATCTAAAACAAGTCTGCTTCTACCCAGTGCTAGAGCCAGGCATGGAATTTTTCCATCATTGGAAAACCGTGCCACCACTGGTAAACAACTTTTCCAGCCCTGTAAACCAAGTTTGGACACACTTCAATATTCCTGTTCCTTTTTCCCAGAAAAAGGCTCAGAAAAGTTGAGTGATTTGCCTGCAATCACCCAGCAAATCAAACTCCGATGGCCCCCAAGTTCCTATCTGGTTTCCAAAGTCCCTACCTTGTAAACATGTTTTGATAAAGCAGACAGAGATAAACAGGAAAAGGCCCTGCTTGTCTCCCCATGCTCCCACTGAGCAGATAGCAGCTATGTTTTTTCCTCCTTGTTGCCAGCCTGGGTCCACACGGCTGTGATCTACCTCAGGGATATGTGTTGGGGGGCGCGGGATGAGGCTCCTGTTCTTACATCGAATCTCAATTCTGCTTCAGGGAAGTTCAGCAGTTAATATCAGGTGCGGAGCTGCTGCTGAGTCTGCCCTAACCACAGTGAGGGTGTCGCCAAAAAAAAAAAAAAAAGGATGAAGAAGAGAGAGAGAGATGATATAGGAGGGTGGAGATGAACGAGCTCCCTAAGGCAGCATTATCTACAGAGACAAAGACACCACAGCCCCCACACCAGCAGCAGCCCACCTTCGCTCGTGTAGGCAACCGAGGGGAATGAATAGAGCTGGCAGTCTCCACGGCTGGCCTGAGCTGGAGAGTGGGGGAGTTCCCAAGGCAGCTTCTCATCAACTCAGGGCAAGGGTCCCATCTGGCCATGGAATCGGGGTTTGCTGGCCAGACTCATCTTGGACGGGCCCAGGATGAGGCTCAAGTGTGCAGCAGAAGGCTCCCCTCCTTCCCACATCCACATTAAGGGCACCCATGTCCGTTCATCATCTCACTGAAAATAGGAACTGCACCTCTTGACCACACAGGGTGGGCTCAGAGCTGACAGCTGGGACAGGCACCAAGGATTCCTTGGGCCTGACTAAAAGCACAAGCCTCCTGCGCAGGGCCTCTCCAGTGGAGCTCAGCTTTAGACATAAGGCTTGCCCCCAACCTCCAGAAAGGGCAGCCACAGCCCCAGAGGTCACACTCACGTAAATACTACAGTTTTTCTGAAGTACACACAAGGAGCTAGCTGTGTCCCTTCCTACCCCTCCCCAAGGCACACAGACAGGTAACACAGAGCACACTCACCTGCGCTCTGACTTCCTGACTCTGAGCTGCTCAGGCCAAACGAGGAATGTCATTGGCTTATTCTGGTAAGCTCCTTAGTGGTTGCTGCCATAGGATACAGGCTCTATTTAACATAATGGAGTCCTTTGGCTCCCCTAGCCCAGACCTTGCACCCCCTCTGGAGAATATCTCCCCGGTGGCATCAATCTCCAAGGCATCTAAGTTCCTTCCTCGGGCTGACATCTTGCTCAGCCCCGTGGTGAGCCGGCTTGCAAATCCTGAGCCTGCAGTCCCCGGGGCAGCTCCAGCAAAGGTGCATTATGTTTTAATTAATATAGAGACATATTCAACATAGCTCGATAATTGTCTCGGCAACCGCAGGCCAGAAAATAAAGGACTCCCAGCTGCATGTGACAGGCTCTTTCGGATTCTGGTTCTAACTGCCGGCTCAGCATGTGTGCCCCAAACCAGCCCAAGCACCGCTTGGCCACCTGTCAGTTCTCCACCCTGGGGGTTGGTTCAGCAGGCAGGCAGGGATCTCCAAGCACTAGCTTAACCTCTGGCTCCACCTAACGGCAAGAACTCCACACTCCCCTTTCACAGATGGACAAACTGAGCTTCATCCAGGAAGATCCCAAAAGGAGGAAATTAATTCAGCAAAGGAAATGAATGGTCCTCTGCTTGGCCTCCCACGCGGCAATTTTCTTCCCCTGCCATCTTACAGGAGGGAAAGTGATGTCAAGTTTTTAGTTAGCATCTTGGATTTCTCCAGCCCTTTGTCTGCGAACAGCACTTCACACACATTATTCAAACAATCTCGGGTGGGTGAGTCACTAGAACGGTCTGCTGAATAATGAGGAACAAACACAGAGGCCTGAAATGGAGCTGAAAGACGGAGGCACAAATGGTACCTGACGTCCAGCCCAGGGTTCTGGCCGAACATCCTCTCTGACCTTTGCCTGGCTTCCCCATCACTTTCATCCCGTGAAAGCACTTTTCTGCGTGGAGCGGGGAAAGCTAAGTCGCCGGCCGGACTTGCCAGGGGATGGTCTGCGCTCACCTTTAAATCAGGAGGCTTGCTTCGGGGCCCCGGGTTGGGCGCCGCGGCAGCGCCCGCATCTGAAGTTGGCCCGGCTGCCGAGTTAGCACCCGTGGCCTCCCCAGGCCGGAGGTCCGCGCCCGGCAGGTGGCCAGCGACATCTTCCAGCCCAGCTCCATCCTCCTCGCCCTGCTGTTGCTGCAGCTCGTCCGATTTGCACCTCTTCATGGTGTATGTGGGTCGGCAAGGGGAATCTGTCCTTCCAGCGGGCTGTCTTGGGGAAGACCGCACCCCCTCTTACACTCAGAAAACGAGGCCCGGGGTCTAAATTAGTGACGAGGAGGGGGGAGTCGGCGGGTCACAATTTCTTGAATTAAAAAATAAATCTTTTTAAAGGAGGGTGAGGGAGGGGCGAGGACACGGAGCCTCGGTTACAGCCTGGAATAGTTCATTCCGACCTGGGGAGCGGAGGCAGGTCACAGTCGAGGCTGGGCAGCAGGAGTCCTTGGGCAGTCATTGGAGCGGGAGGAGGAAGACAGCCCCCGGCCCCCCAAACTTTCTGCTCCAGGGTGCGGGCAGGGCGGAGGGGAGCTGGGCGGCACGGCGCATCCCTCCCGGCGGGCTGGGCTGCTGGGCGAGGCAGGGCACCGGGCAGCCGACCGGGCAGGTCTTCGGCGGCCGCCCGCGGCGCGGGCTGCGGCCCGCCCCCCCCGGCCCTGCCGCCGGCCCCCGCCCCGCATGGGCCCGCCGCGGAGCCCGGGCCGCGCGCCCGGCTCCCCGCCCGCCGCGCCGCTTGCTGCAAAGCCGCGACCGCAGCCCGAGCCAGCGGCGAGCGCGCAACCTACCCCGCCCGCTGCCTCCGCCCGCGAGGGGGAAGGCGAGGCAAGCAGCGAGTGACAACGGCAACGGGCCAATGGGAAGCCCGGAGGGCTGAGGGGGGCGCCGCGCGGCCACGTTTTTAGGGTTGGTTGCACCGCGCGGTCCCCCAGGAGAGGTCTGGAGGGCTCTGCTGCTGCGTTTTGGCATTGCAGAGAGCGGGCTGCGGAGTAGAGGCGGGGCGGCGCGCCACCCCCGACGCGGTCTTGGCAGGGGTGGGCGGGACCCTCCCAGAAAAGGCTCTCTCGGGATTTCCCCCACCCACTCGTTTTATTTGGCAGGGAGGGGGCGAGACAGGGATGTTTATCATCAGTGCATTTTGCTCTAACTTTGCACATTACGTGTGTAGAGCCCTTCAGCGAAGGAGATACTGATCCCCTCCAGGATGCATGGTCTGAAACACAAACATATGCCTACATGCGGAGCTGCAAATGCAGAGGGAGGGGGTGGTCTTCTGTCCCTTCACGCCTTCTCCCACTTTAAGTAGCTATCTCGTATGAGTTTTAGCTTTATGCTCAGAAATTAGAAAGTATTAAATTATTTAACATAATAATGCAAACTATGAAAAGGCTTTTAAATAAGGAGTGTTAATGGCAGGAAGTTGATACATATGGAAGGGAAGAAAAAGGAATGCAACCTTTTTTTCCCCTGAATCTCAGCCAAACTGTGCTAGTAATCTGGAGGCAGAAGAAAGTAAATATTGGGGCTACCAAGATATGGAGCAGAGTAATAACAACTCCATCTGAGTGTCTACTGTATGCTTACTATGGATACGATGCTTTTTGCCCACCCAGCAACCTAGACCAAGGGTTCTCAAAGGATGGTCCTGGAACCAGCAGCATCAGTATCACCCGGAAACTTAACAGAAATGCAAATTCTTAGACACCAGCAAGACCTACAGAATCAGAAATAGCCCAGACGTCTGGGGTTTTTAATTTTTTTTTTAAGATTTATTTATTTATTTATTTATTTGAGAGAGGAAGAGGGAGGAGGGACAGAGGGAGAGAGAGAGAAAAAATCCTAAGCAGACTCCCCACTGAGTGTGGAGTCCTACGCAGGACTCGATCCCAGTTCCCTGAGATCCTGACCTGAGCTGAAATCAAGAGTCAGACGCTTAACCGACTGAGCCACCCCAGAACCCCCAGAAGTCTGTTTTCACAAGCCCTCCAGGTAATTCTGATGCTAACATCTGAGACCCATTCATTGGCTTAGACTATAGTGAAGGGGCCACTCAGTCTGTGAGTCACAGTGACGATCCCTAAAGTGTTTTATAGTTTACCAATCGCTTTTACACCTGTCATGTCATGCTAGCCTTGCCTCAGTCCTACCAGGCTATGAGTTTCCTGACTCTGTCCTCCCATTCCAACCACTCATCTTAATGTGTATCCTAGAAGAGCCTAAGTTGTTAAGAATTTACTTCAGTCAGGCAGCTACTTTCTAAACTAGGCAGCTCCATTTTTAGAAGATAGGAATTTAGGATGGGCTGGGAACACAGAACCACCCCCTACATCCACTACCCGGTATCGGGCACAACGCGGAAACACAAAGCTTCCCTAGCATTCTGCTGTGAGCATTTTAAATGATGAGGGAAAGACAGAAAGCCAGTGAAGTCCGTGGCAGGACTAAGCAGAACCAGAGGGAGCAGATTCCCATGTGCTGAATGTCAGGCAGAATGGTCTGCTACCCCCTACCTGACTCCTGACTCACTCTAAAGAAGTATAGGGACCCCTACAGATCCTGGGCAAGTCCTAGGCTGGGAGGTAAGTGGTAGCCTTGGGCAGATGGTGAGCACGTGTTCATGACCTGACTGGAAGCTGAAAGAAAAGTGGAGGGAGTCACTGTGAGGTTTTAAGAAAGCAGAGACCATTATCATGTGAATTATGCCCCATTTCTATAGTAGGTTGAAGTTGGCCTTAACTTTGACTATTATCATACACAATAGCATGATGGCCAAATTTCCTATTTGTGGCCATATTTAGTAAGGTGTCGTGCAGGTCAACAAAAAAGTGCGTTTCATGAAATCAGTTAATGCTGTATATTCCATTTTGGAGAGGCAGTGTTGCATAGTGGAAGTTAAGAACTCTAGACTCTGTGGCCAGACTGCTTGGGGACAAATCCTGGCTCTGTTCTACCCTCACCGTGTGATTGGGGCCAAGTTATCCAGCCTCTTTATGCCCCAGTTTCCTAATTTGGGAGTGAGGATCGTGACAGAACCTATCTTATAGGGTGTTGGGTAGTGAATGTAAAGCATTTAGGCATTGCCTGGCACAGACTGAGGGCCCTAGCTATTATCAGAGATGTCATCCAGTTTCAGAAGCGTTACACATCCCATTTCAAGTGTTCTAACCTTGTTTCTCACCCATTCCAACTTTCTCTGAGGTCATATTATAGAATGAATACACTACTGCCAAAGAAGTTTGGGTGGGAATTCTATAAAGAGAGCTGTCTGACTTGCAACTGCCAGTTTGAAGCTGATGGCAAATTTTCATTAGCCGTAGTAAATTCTTGAGTACCTAAGATAACTAGAACTTGAAATGACTTTGACTGAAATTCTGTTGAAAGGATCGATCATTCTATTTTTCTAGGCTTCTTTGGAAGAACACAGGCACATAGTATGCTTTTTTTAAAGATTTTATTTATTTATATGACAAGGAAAGAGAGACAGCAAGCGAGGGAACACAAGCAGGGGGAGTGGGAGAGGGAGAAGCAGGCTTCCTGAGGAGCAGGGAGCCCGTCCGACGTGGGGCTGGATCCCAGGACCCTGGGATCATGACCTGAGCCGAAGGCAGACACTTAACGACTGAGCCACCCAGGCGCTCCAGGCACATAGTATGTTTTGATGCTCAAGATAAGACAAAAATTTGCAGATTCCCAATGCAAGAGATTATATTTGGTATGTAAGAGTAGCATTTTCCATTCTGCTTTGACACCACTAGTTAATTATAAATAAATAACATGGTGTTGAGGGAAGCACACAGGTCTTGGTGTTAGACCATCCATGTTAAGAATTCCGGTTCTGTTACTCCCTGTGTGTTTTGGTCAACCAGTTAACTTCTCTCAGCCTTGGTTTTCTTATCTATAAATAGGCACTAATAATATCTATCCTCACACTGTTATCCTAAGGATAAAACTAGATAATGCATGTGAAAACATTTGACACATAGATGTGCTCAGTAAACCTAAATAAACAAAAATAATTAGCAAACTTATCTAAGCCCCCAGTCTGCCACATGAAAAAAGCATAATTATTTCACTAAGCTTAATGTTTTTTGTGAAAGGAAATCCCGGGTAGGCTAATGAAAGGGGGCACTCCTGGTAGGATCAAATTTGCCAAACCAGTACGTATATAAACAAGAAGGATTAAGATCAGGGTTATGGAATCCTGTTCCCTTGTCAACAGCCAGTCAATTAGCTTGATAAACGGAAGAGGCTTTAATGATAGAGGATAAAGTGCCAAGATCAACAGGTAAACATAGAGTAGAGTTTGTTTTTTCTTTTTTCAAAAGGCTTCTCTTTATGCCGTTAGCAAGGAGTTTGCAGATTATCCAAGAAAATTCTGTTTCCTACACTGTAGGAATTCTTTAAAAAACATTTTAAACATCAAATGGGTAATAGTGGTCAGCTCTTGTGAGATTTAACATATTAAGAAGAATGCTTTGCTTAGAAGGTAAAAGTACTCTCTACTGAGACCAGATATAATAATTTCCATCACTGTATTTTGATACCAACATCATTATAAATATTTCTTTGTTAATGTAATTTTCCTCCCTTTCTTTTAGAGATTTCCACTTCCCCTCAATGCTCCTCTTAAAAGAAATTGGGTTCCGTTGGATTAGGAGAAGTAAACTATGCAAATAATCGTCAGGGAGATTGGCCGGATTGTCAATGACATCACCATCCCACCACCTAAATACAGGCTTTTTATTGGCTGTTCTAAGAGGCAGACAGGACCGGGAAGGCTCTGTCTGCATCACTGGTGAGTTGGAGAAAGCTCTGAGTCTATACTAAATTTTATTGTTTTTTACTTAAAATGTACTCAGAATCATTATCCACATATTATTACATCTTCCATGTTATTCCACATGGAAATATGTCTAAATAAATATTTTTAGTGACTACTTATCCATTCTATCAGGTGAATATATCATGGTTTATTTACCCACCACCATCTACCTTATTCTTAGATACTTAGGTGTTTCAATTTTTTGCCTTCAGAAATAAATCTGTAATTACTATTTTTATTCAAAATTGTACGTGTTATTTCCTCCATAGCATAGAATCTCTGATACCTAACTGGCAATGTTTTAAAAGAGTAACACTGAACAGATTGCCATTCCTGTGTCGCTTCCTCTCACATCCCTGAGGCCTGCATGGGGGATCCCAGCGTCCGGCTCATTCCTGGGACTGCTAAATCTCCTCTCTGTAATAGAAAAACCTGGAAGTGCCTGCATTTCATTGCAGGTAGGATGC